AAAAAAAAAAGCCACCGAAATTATGAGGAATTTAATTCTGCCGCATTGCAATTATGGTCTGAAAATAAGGACCGCCGTTTCGTCGCTTTTGATTGCGGTGTCGCAAATAAGGACCTCGTATATGTGTAAAAAAAGCTTCTCTGCTATTTTATATGAGAATCTTAGCTCGTTTAAGGTAAGTAACTGCCACGCAAAAACTGGACATTCCGCTGCTGTTCGTCCTTTTTTCATTCCACCCGTGTTTTTCCCCTTCCCACTTTTCATCGCGCTTCGCTCGAAGAACGGTGACACTTCAATCTTCGCTAGAAGAGCGCAGATGTAAAAGTGAACGTAAATTTCTCTAGCGGTAAATTGATCTAATCATTTATGTCAAATTACATTTCTGCGTAAAACTATTCAAAAATAGATCGTGTGCGATATATGCACGATTTAAAATGCAACGAAAGCAAATGAATATCGTAAATATAAAGTTCAAATTAAAAAAAAAAAAAAAAAACAGACTTTGATCAAATAAACAGAAAGAAAAATATTTCTATAAAGTTGAATATCTCTTCAATATGAAAAGAGAGAATTATCAGAAATTGTACGGAATTATTTTGTTTCGCTTTACTATTTTAATTTCTCATAAAAAAAATTATATATGTTCTTCAATTTCAAAGAGAACACGTCGCATTTTATCATTATATATTTTTTCAAAAGATAATCTCGTATTTTTTGTTAAATCTCTTTACTTTGACAAATATTTTTCTAATCATACTACATTGAAACAGTTAATGCATTGAAATACTTCTTTACTCGACATATTTGCAGCGCTCTCTATTGTATATATTTAATTCTCTCGAACCGCGATAATTATGTAATAGAAAATTCTAATTAATCACAAAAATATTCTTTTCTAAAAAAATCTCAGATTAATATTATATTAATGAAATAGATAATCTTTATGAACTTAAAAAGCGCGATGTCCCATTTTTAAGTCGTTATACATAAGATAATTTTCTAATCTGTTCTCAAATTCCATAGTTCTGCGGACAGATTAGAAAGAAATGTACTCAATCACCGATGAGGGGTACTATTAAAGACTCATAATCCCGCGGACCCTGTGTAAAATTACGTGATTATCAAGGTTCTCGGGCGATCCGGAGAAAGATAATTAAAGAGTACTGACATTACTTGAAATCGTTCTTGATCATACGGTATTCGAATGATATCTATAGCATATATATGTAATATATAATGCGGTATTAATTTTACAATTTACACAATTATATCCCAATATTTCGTAGGCATACTTTCTCATCTACGTACAATGTGTATTAACCTGTAAAAGAAACTTTACATACCTCTAAAGTTATAATATTATCACACATGCTATATATGTGTGTGTATTACTCGGCTTCCCGCCTTTTCCTCCATATGTAATTTTTATGAGAAGGCACAGCAAGTTTTTCAAACTTATACAATACACAAATTGACTCAACTTTCGGGCATCACATTAATATCTTCCGTTTCTTCAGATCAAGTATCTCGATCTAAACAAAAATTGGAATCTACGGATTATAAGTATTATACTGTTATAAATATTACAGCAGGAAAATACTGGAGATCAATCATTCTCCGCTGCTACAGTTTTTATTAAAATTGTTTTGAACGCCTCCACGTGCACAAAACGCGAACTATGTAACCACGAATCTTTTCGATCGGTATGATCACAGTTAATCGTCCCGCGAAAAAGAAGAAACCTACCGTAGGAGAAAATAGCTGACTCACAGTAGAAGAAAATAGCTGATTCAGAGATTTCAGAGTAGAGAGAAAAATAATTGACTCTAAAATAAAGGGAAAACATAATATAAAAAATTATAGAAAAAAAAATATTGACTGTGTACATGTGTATTCGCAAATGACAGTGCCACTTTGTTAATAAATCTGTGTAATATTTTATTTAATCAAACTCTTATTATTATTACATTAATATATGTATTATTAATGTAATATTTTAAATAATGTAATACACTGTAAAATTAGTAAATTTATGGTGTATTTGTACCTATCTATAAATAATATCAGTTAAATTTATTATAATGTAAAAACACAGAAACACTAAACGTGTATGTATATATTCAGATTTATTCATTAATTTATTACTTTCATTTGTAGAAGAAACATCTTCTTCCAACATGGTCATAATAAATATCATTAAAAATAATTTGTCAAGATCAATTGGAAATTGTAAGGATATTTGTATTTTTTTAAAAATCTATTTAACATATATTATTTTGTATATTTAACATACACAAAAAGTCACTATTATTCGACCATTATTTTTTTTTTTTATGTTCAAAATATATCTCTTAGTTAATTATAAGACGTTTCCTTGTTTGTATCATATATCCTATAAATTAATCAGCTTTCTTAAACATTAACAAAATTTGTTATATAAAAATCTATTTCCTGACAATTGTGATAATTATGTAAAAACTAAATTATCTATTAACAAATTTACAGATTTACAAGTTGCTTCTAGATTAAGATACTCTACGGAAATGTCACCTGTGTATAAAACATTAGCAGTATCTACTCTGAAACCTTTTGTTTACATGGTCAAGTTAAATAGGCCAGAGAAACTGAATGCAATAAATCCAACTATGTGGCGGTATAAAAAATCACTTATTATATATCTTTTGCAATTAAATACTTATATTTGATATGAATAATTTTCATGTAGAGAGTTTAAGGAATGTTTCGAGGGATTAGCATTCAATCCCGATTGCAGAGTAATAATTTTATCAGCTGCTGGAAAGTCATTCTGTTCGGGTATGAAATAATATAAAAGTAAATTAATTATTATGACATGAATAAATTAATGGAATCATTCTATTTGATAACTATCTTAGGAATTGATCTGCAGGGAATGTTTGAAATGGGTCAGACCTTAGCACAGCATAACGATATTGCACGTAAATGTAGAGCTCTGGAGTCTAAAATTAAAGATTATCAAGACTCATTTACAGCCATAGAGAAGGTATCATTATTTACATGGAATTGTAATATATTCAGTACAGATCACTCATACTTCATTATGCATTACATATTTTTAATATGATGCTTTTTTATATAAACAAAATAATGATGCAAAGTTAATTGACAGTGCCCGAAACCTGTAATAGCTGCTGTACATGGCGCATGTATTGGCGCAGGTGTGGACATGATATCCGCAACTGATATACGCTATGCTTCCTCTGATGCATATTTCCAAATAAAGGAAGTTGACATTGGTCTAGCAGCAGATATCGGTACACTTCAAAGATTTCCAAAGATTGTGGGATCCGACAGTTTAGTAAGAGAACTTGTGTACACAGCACGAAAGTATCCGGCGGCTGAAGCATTGGAAAGCGGATTTATAAGTTGCATATTGGATAATGAGGAAAGGTAAAACAAATGCACTGAAAGAAGAATGTATAATTTTGTAATGATTTTACTCGAATAAGATAAATTAATTTAAGATTATTCATATTTTTGTTCAGCTTATTGAATAAGGCGATAGAAGTTGCTGAAAATATCGCAAAAAAGAGTCCAGTTGCTGTGCAAGGTTCAAAAATAAGCATGGTATATTCCAGAGATCACTCTGTTCAAGAAGGATTAGATCATATCGTGAGTATTTTCCATCACTTATTCCACCTAAAATTATAATGAGCATTATAATTATTATTCATTATATACGAAAAATAATTATATCTAAAATTGTTACAATATATATGTTATTGGGGGATTTATCTCGATAGGCGATGCATAACAAGGCAATGCTTCAGAGCGAAGATTTCTTAGATGCAGCTATGGCACAAGCTACTAAAGGTGATCCTCCGATATTTTCAAAATTATAATATTTCATTATTGATTGATATATTACCTATTTACACATTTAATCATATATTATTTATAAGAAAAAATGATTACAAATCTTTTTTTATATCTTGATATTAAATTTTAATACATTTTTCGCGAGAATGTAAAATAATAATATAGCATATAAAATGTATTTTTCTAATTAGATTTTAAAGTACTTTTTAATACATTATATATATATATAACATTTATATGCTGTTTATATGTGAAAACCGGCACAAATATATTTTAGAAATAAACTTATGTATATGTAACATGAAATATAAATAAAATGTGTTTATACAATTTTCTTAATCACGGATTTGAACATTTTTTTCATATATTGAGATTCTCTCATAAAAAAAAGACAATTTTTTACTAAAATAGTATAGCACTTTTTTGTCATATTTATAAGAAAAAATGATTACAAATCTTTTTTTATATCTTGATATTAAATTTTAATACATTTTTCGCGAGAATGTAAAATAATAATATAGCATATAAAATGTATTTTTCTAATTAGATTTTAAAGTACTTTTTAATACATTTTATATATATAACATTTATATGCTGTTTATATGTGAAAACCGGCACAAATATATTTTAGAAATAAACTTATGTATATGTAACATGAAATATAAATAAAATGTGTTTATACAATTTTCTTAATCACGGATTTGAACATTTTTTTCATATATTGAGATTCTCTCATAAAAAAAAAGACAATTTTTTACTAAAATAGTATAGCACTTTTTTGTCAAGTATCTTCCTTAAACAACAAACTTCCCCACATGCGTGTTTTAGGTAATGCTGCCAATCTTTCAGCTTCTATTTTATCAACAATATTATATACATTAATATCTTCGGGAATTTTCACCTGTAATTTTTACCTCAAGTGGAAATCTCAATATTTTTTAAATAAAATATATACATACATATACATACTCCTATGTATAGTGTAAAGAAATCTTAGCAATAGCTATGTACGTACAATTAGCAAGTTGATGTAATGCTCGTAATTAATTTTTCCTGTTTCCGCATCACAAGCTACGGCCATCATATCGGCCACTTCCTCCTTCGTAAATGGCTCTCCAATTTCCATAATTGATTTTTCTAAATCATCTTTCATGATATATCCGCGATTTTCGGGATCTAATAATTGGAACGCTTTCAATAGCTCTTCTGGTTCTGCTGGCTTGAATCTAAACAAATTGTAAAAATAAAAGATCTACTATGTTATAACAGAAAATTACGTTTTTCTATCAATCTATCAATTACTTGTTCTGATTTAAAAAAAAAATACTTGAACGTACTTGCGCTCGTTAATCGCTTTGCTCATGTATTCTACAAATCTGTTTATTGGCACACAATTATTTTCGACATCTTCTACTTCTACTTGTATCTCTTGCAACTCAGCTTCCGTGATGACACACCCTGTTGAGTGACATAAAAAAGAATAAAATATGCTATGAGAGAGATATAAAATTATTTGAATTTTATGTTTTATGTAACCTAATGCTCTGATTATAGTTCCTAAATCTCTAACATCCACTTCCCCACTTCTTGCATTATCAAATACATCAAATGCTTCGTAGAGTCTTCTTTCTAATAATGTTGGTTCAGTCACTAAGTATATAATTTAGAAAAATATTAAATATTAGTGTTGATCTTTTTCATTAAATTGATACAGAATTTCTAAAATACTTACTTTGATATCAATATATTTAACTTACAAACTTTTTTAAGAAATATAAGAAATAAAGAAAGACGAACGATATTTTTCAGTATTCAAGAAACGTGATTAGCTTTTATGAATTGTTTGATCAATATAAGCAATATATATGAAATAATTAATATAATCTCAGAGTACTTGTATTAACTTATATTCTATATGAGAGAGACATGATATTTTAATATATATTTTTATAAACAACATTCGTTAAAAAAGAAAAACTTTGTTACATAAAATATATATTCTGTATATATTAATTACAAATACTTTGTCTGACACATACATATTTGACTTTCCTGTCGTAAGGTAAGACGTCTTTCAATGATACTTTTCCTGGGAGATATCATTACAATAATACAGTGAATATTTCTATTATTTAATTTAATTATGCACAAGTAATTTGTCAATTCGTCGTGATCCGGCTTATCATAAAATAGTATCAATTTCTTTTATAAAATATAAAAATAAAAATTATAACTCTATTCTTTTATATATATTCAAGTACCAAAAATTTGAGTTCAATGACAATTTAATGAGATATATGAATTAAACAATTGCAAGAATGCTGTGATAATTTCAAGATATACATACTATTGTATGTATTTAGCATTCAATGATAGTGCAAGCAAAGTTTATAGACATGTATGAGATTTTCAGGTAATATAAAATTATAACAAAAGCTTTATTGATTATAATACAGCTATAATTAGAAATGCGCCGTTTGTCGATCAATTTCAGTAATATCTTCGATGATTTCCTGAACACGTGTTCCAATTTTTTTAGCTACGTCTGCTTTTTCGTTGTTCGGCAAAAGAAGGTAACGCCAGACTAAATCACCATCAATAATGCCTCTTGCTGGATTACCTTGATTTCGTATGTAACTTTTATACGTTCTAAATAAAAATAGAAATTGTATATATTAGCAATATCCCTATTGCACACCAATCAAATCAGCAAATTACATAATTATAAATATATAATTTTTGTAATTATAATTGACACTTGCCGATATGATTTTGGATTTAAGCCTGCAATATGACAGATATGTGTCACCAGTACATTTTGTAACATAAGCAGTCTCCGATATGTTTTTTCTGGTACTGGCAGAATGTAACCAAGACTGCCGTCTAACGTTGCTATAAAATGTAAAAAAATACATGCAAAAGATATACTTTATTAACAGATTATTTAGAGAGTATGAATAGACCACATATTATTTGTGATCTTATATATTTTGACTTACCATACATAGTCACATGTCTTTTGTCAGCGCCGGAAAAGTGCTTCTTATCATTCGCAGGATCAGTGATCCTACATTTAATACGGAAAAAAGTGTTCACCTTCTGGCCTAGATGAAAATCCGCCTTTCTAATCAGCTTTTGGCCTCCCAAACTTTCTCTTGATTCTGGCTGATACATAAATAAAGCTAGATTGCTCTCTCCATCAGCCACAAAGAAGCCTAAATTTGTGTTATCAATTAAATACTCTATCGTATAAACTTCTGCAGGTCTAAAGTCCTATAATAAAAATTCATAAATTATATAACTTAATATAATGTAGTTAATATTTCTTTGAAATTAATGTATTATTACTTACTCTACTAACAAGAGAGAGTGTTCTATATTCCTCTTGAAATCTTAGTAAACTAATTGATTTATAAACATCAGCTATCAAAATAAGACTTTTGATACTTAGCATCTGATGAATATAAATTTGAGTATCGATAAAAGCGACTCCAACAAGATCGTTGTCTTTCAACTGCCAAATATAAATCTGCAATAAAACAGCATAAATCTTTAATATTGTTCACAATAGACACAAAGCTTTTATGAAAATAAATTAAAAGAAAATACCTTTTGACCAACAGCTGAGACTAAAAATCCTGATACTTGAGTTATAGCAGTTATAGGTCCCTTTTGTTCCTTCGCATAAATTTGTTTAAATCTATTTTTGGTCAATGGCTGGCCAGGTTCAGGTACTACTTCAATTATGTCAAATATAAGTATCTGAAAATTAAAAAAGAAAGAGTAGAATAAAATAATCAATATTGATAAGATTTAAAAAGATTTTTTTTATTTGTAGAACTCACGCGTCCTCTACTTGTGATATCTTCGCCATAATTATAATTTGTTCCCAATACTATGTAACCTTTCAAACCAGATCTTGTTCCTTCATAAGCCAGAGACACATTCTTTAAGCAAGTGACATGTTCCCATTGTTCCAGCTCGATTTTTGTATTGGGAATAGTCTCCCACGAAACTGGAGAAAATAATACAATAGAAAATTGTTCTTGAGAGGGGTATAGAAATCTTTCTGGACGGTCACTAAGTATATAATTTAGAAAAATATTAAATATTAGTGTTGATCTTTTTCATTAAATTGATACAGAATTTCTAAAATACTTACTTTGATATCAATATATTTAACTTACAAACTTTTTTAAGAAATATAAGAAATAAAGAAAGACGAACGATATTTTTCAGTATTCAAGAAACGTGATTAGCTTTTATGAATTGTTTGATCAATATAAGCAATATATATGAAATAATTAATATAATCTCAGAGTACTTGTATTAACTTATATTCTATATGAGAGAGACATGATATTTTAATATATATTTTTATAAACAACATTCGTTAAAAAAGAAAAACTTTGTTACATAAAATATATATTCTGTATATATTAATTACAAATACTTTGTCTGACACATACATATTTGACTTTCCTGTCGTAAGGTAAGACGTCTTTCAATGATACTTTTCCTGGGAGATATCATTACAATAATACAGTGAATATTTCTATTATTTAATTTAATTATGCACAAGTAATTTGTCAATTCGTCGTGATCCGGCTTATCATAAAATAGTATCAATTTCTTTTATAAAATATAAAAATAAAAATTATAACTCTATTCTTTTATATATATTCAAGTACCAAAAATTTGAGTTCAATGACAATTTAATGAGATATATGAATTAAACAATTGCAAGAATGCTGTGATAATTTCAAGATATACATACTATTGTATGTATTTAGCATTCAATGATAGTGCAAGCAAAGTTTATAGACATGTATGAGATTTTCAGGTAATATAAAATTATAACAAAAGCTTTATTGATTATAATACAGCTATAATTAGAAATGCGCCGTTTGTCGATCAATTTCAGTAATATCTTCGATGATTTCCTGAACACGTGTTCCAATTTTTTTAGCTACGTCTGCTTTTTCGTTGTTCGGCAAAAGAAGGTAACGCCAGACTAAATCACCATCAATAATGCCTCTTGCTGGATTACCTTGATTTCGTATGTAACTTTTATACGTTCTAAATAAAAATAGAAATTGTATATATTAGCAATATCCCTATTGCACACCAATCAAATCAGCAAATTACATAATTATAAATATATAATTTTTGTAATTATAATTGACACTTGCCGATATGATTTTGGATTTAAGCCTGCAATATGACAGATATGTGTCACCAGTACATTTTGTAACATAAGCAGTCTCCGATATGTTTTTTCTGGTACTGGCAGAATGTAACCAAGACTGCCGTCTAACGTTGCTATAAAATGTAAAAAAATACATGCAAAAGATATACTTTATTAACAGATTATTTAGAGAGTATGAATAGACCACATATTATTTGTGATCTTATATATTTTGACTTACCATACATAGTCACATGTCTTTTGTCAGCGCCGGAAAAGTGCTTCTTATCATTCGCAGGATCAGTGATCCTACATTTAATACGGAAAAAAGTGTTCACCTTCTGGCCTAGATGAAAATCCGCCTTTCTAATCAGCTTTTGGCCTCCCAAACTTTCTCTTGATTCTGGCTGATACATAAATAAAGCTAGATTGCTCTCTCCATCAGCCACAAAGAAGCCTAAATTTGTGTTATCAATTAAATACTCTATCGTATAAACTTCTGCAGGTCTAAAGTCCTATAATAAAAATTCATAAATTATATAACTTAATATAATGTAGTTAATATTTCTTTGAAATTAATGTATTATTACTTACTCTACTAACAAGAGAGAGTGTTCTATATTCCTCTTGAAATCTTAGTAAACTAATTGATTTATAAACATCAGCTATCAAAATAAGACTTTTGATACTTAGCATCTGATGAATATAAATTTGAGTATCGATAAAAGCGACTCCAACAAGATCGTTGTCTTTCAACTGCCAAATATAAATCTGCAATAAAACAGCATAAATCTTTAATATTGTTCACAATAGACACAAAGCTTTTATGAAAATAAATTAAAAGAAAATACCTTTTGACCAACAGCTGAGACTAAAAATCCTGATACTTGAGTTATAGCAGTTATAGGTCCCTTTTGTTCCTTCGCATAAATTTGTTTAAATCTATTTTTGGTCAATGGCTGGCCAGGTTCAGGTACTACTTCAATTATGTCAAATATAAGTATCTGAAAATTAAAAAAGAAAGAGTAGAATAAAATAATCAATATTGATAAGATTTAAAAAGATTTTTTTGTAGTGTAGAACTCACGCGTCCTCTACTTGTGATATCTTCGCCATAATTATAATTTGTTCCCAATACTATGTAACCTTTCAAACCTTGTTCCTTAATGCTTGTTATGCTTGTTATGACGCAATAGGTTTTGCTTTCCAGATGATATGTAACAAAATGTGGGGTACATCGTAGAGGGACTTTTCTAACAGCATCGTACGCTTCTTCTGTAAATTCCTTATCTTCGCCATTAAATCTGTAGTAACTTTTCAGAGGTTCGGCTATGCTTGTTATGACGCAATAGGTTTTGCTTTCCAGATGATATGTAACAAAATGTGGGGTACATCGTAGAGGGACTTTTCTAACTGGCCAAGGAGCATCGTACGATAAGTGTGTCGGTAAAACGCATATCCGTAACTCCTCCTTTCTATTAAAGTATAGGAAACCTTGTGGGCAATTAACATTATTAAAAGCGGCAAAAGACGTGATGGGGCCATCGATGCCCATTGGATGCGTGCGTAATTCACCGCGTCCAGTCAAAAATATCCAATGCGGATAATCGCAGCAAATAAATACACCATTGTATCCGGCAATGTTGCTAAAATAACGCATCATGCAGATGCGAGTTTCACTTGCATTCATATGCATGTCCTCTTCCTTCGGTTTTGGGCTTAAACGTCCTGGAATTATTCCATGTTCCAGTTTCTTAAACCTCAGTTTTAGATGTCCCTTTGGATATCTATAAGCTTGATAAATTTGCAACTCCGAATCAAGGCGTACCAAGAGCATCGGCCGATTTCCATGATGTCCTAAGGCGACCATCAAAATTTCACGAACCTATAAAGAAATATATATTTTTTAATAGCACAAAAATATACGATTACTACGAAAAAACGGCAAATATTTTGCAAATATATTACCTGCATTTCGGGATTAGGGATCTCATTAACCAGTGCTGATTGCAATGTCGTAGATTCCATACTGTCGTGCAGCACGTACTGGCCGTAGCCAAAATTACGAATGAGATAAGAAAGCCGTAAATCTGGCAAGGAATAAATTTCCAATGTCCCACTATCTCTATATACAAGTAGCCAGTATGTGGGTTTAATTTCCTGCAAATGCCTCTGCCACCAAGGCGCTTTCTTAGCGATTCCATCCGATGGTTTTTGATATGATGGTGCAGGCATCTGGAATGCTGGAGCATCACCGTACAATAGATCGTCCTCGTTGTCGATATTGGTGAGTACAGAAGGTTCCTCTATATTGTGTTCCTCTTCGACTTGCTCGTCGTCCACACTCTCGGACAATTGCGTCGTAAAAATTCCACTTACATCTCTATAAGTGCATAATGCCTCTATCTGGGGACGAAACAATAAGTTGGCAGGTTGAGCATGCAGCCTCGCTGTGCCCCTCACTTCTCTAAGTGTCAACAATACCACTTGTCCATCTTCCGAAAGTAATGTTACGTATGGATCGGCACAACTCGCATGCACAATTGGGCAGCCAAGATCTATGGGCATATGTTGGATCTGTTCGATGCCTTGTAAAAGACGCACTCCCATTTGAGTAACTTGTACAATATATCTATTGGCACCGAGATTACCGGCGAATACTGTACTTCCTTGTGTGCTGAATCCACTCTGATCTACTTCGTTAATTTCTTGACCAGTTTGCAAAATCATGGTTGAATCTTCTTGACTCAATATTAAAAAAGCGTGAGATCCCTCCGCTTCTGCCTTAACTTGCTCATCATTATTTAAGGTGCCGATAACGGTCCACATATCTTCACAGCCGGGTAATTCAAATGTTGTCACAACTTGAGGACGTATGGAACGTTGCAGCACACAAAGCGCGCCGTTTTTACCATATCCGGATGTCGTCACGAGTTCAACATCGGGATCTTGATTATGTAGAAATTCCTCCGACAGGAAGGCTGGTTCTCCCATGGAAATATTTCCACATGGTCCAATGTTTAATAAACTGTCGCACACTTCGAAAATATATGATGTGATTTGGATGGACGTATGAGTTTCGCTTCCATACACTTCTAATTCTTCCGGATCTTTAATGTCTAATACATCCGATGCCATCCAGTCACCGAGAAAATCTTGTTTCGCCTTCTTGGCCGGAGTTTCTTCGCTTTCGTTTTCTTCGATAGTAATCTCATTGTCACTCAAATTCTTTAAAGTTTCCGGTTCCTTCTCGGTAAATCGTAATAATAACGAATTACCGAGTCGAGAGCCGAGAAAAAGATAATTGTCCTCACACATACATACGCATGATGTTAATACACTAGCTGCTGCCTTGTCAAAGTGAAATCCACGCACAGATCGCATACTGTCGGCAAAGAGAGACAAAACGTAAAGTTCTCCACTCTTTAAAGAGATAACTAAACGATCCCCAGATATAAATGCAACCTGCCCACCTTCTAAGCTCATCTTTACTCCCTCTTGTGGTTTTAATGGAAAATTGGTACTTGTGTCTGCTAAACTGTTAAGCGATACTCCATAAGGTGGTATGCTTTGATTCAAATAAATAAGCGAGTTGACTGCCATTATTAATGTGCCACCCAGCGGTTTTTTCACAGGTACAACTTGATAACAATCAAATGGTAAATTAGAGACAGACCAAATAATAGGATGTACCCTTTGCTGGATGTTTAAGGATATAGCAACCATCGCGCAAGTGTCCTGTCTTACCGCGATGCGTCCTGAAAACGTTCTTACTGGTTCATACAGAATTAACAGCGTAGGTTCATAATACCCATACAGAAATTGCAAATCTATCACATTGTCCATTTTTTCTTCCAGTGTTTTTAATACTATCATGTACGAGGACAATATGGGAGTCTTGTTGGAGGATGTTAATTTCGCATTCTCGAGCAAGTCACCGTCATCGAGGCTGGGATCTTTACGAAAAGGTAGTACAACCAGTTTTCTGCCATATATTAACATTATTGCGCATCTTCCTTCAGGATCTACCCTTACTATTGGTATATGGTGATGATTCGTCCATCCATCCTTTATTTCTTCTTCTTCAAAATAATGCAATGACACCGTCCTCAGATCATGAATATCTTGATCATACTCAACAACAGACAATTTTGCATCGCGAAAGCTAAGCAACAGAGAATCCCTCTGCGATCCAATGAGATGAACAGCCTGCATAGACATGATATTTCCATGCAAAGTATATTGCGCCAAGCACTCCAGCTTCATCTTAGGCGGGCGGGTTTCCGTATACTTCTCCCTTCTCGTTATATCGATGTCCGGGATCAGGCGGAACACCCGTATGACATTCGCGCCGGCGACGACGAGGCATTTCTCGGTACGGTTGAAAAAATGACACGTGATCGCGTGCTCCACTCCCGTTGCGGGATGAGTATTCTTGCATATGGAATACATGATGAAGTATTGCTAATAATTTGTTACGAACTGTCACAGGGAGAGCATGTTTTTCCGGAGAAGAGAGAGAGGTTAAATTTTTAGAGGTTAGATTTCTTTTATAAGATTTAGTACGCCTTCAGTTGGATATCCGGTTTTTCGACGCAGCATCAATTAGTCTTCTGTTGAAAATATAAACGAAAAATTTTTTAAGTTTTACTTAAATTAACGAATTGAAGAATTCAACGATATACACAGTATACATACATGGTATACACAGTGTATACCATGGTATCAGAAAAAAGCTAAGAGAGGCCATGCCGACTTTTCGTGGAACGTTTTTTTTTATACAGTAGCGCCATTACATTCACTTTTAGGGAATTGGAAACACATATCCACATCTACTTTTACTGTCGGCACTGTCGGGCAAATCGTCACTTGCGTGCTGTGCTACATCCACTTTACCAGCAACATCGACGAGTCTTCTCTTTCAGTCTTCTCTCTCTCTCTCTCTCTCTCTCTCTCTCTCTCTGACCAAACCATTCCAAAATTACGCGTAAACAAAGGCACTGAAAGACACATATGTGACCGAAAAATGGACTAGAATTAAACGCGAGTTGATGTGAATCTTTCAAATCATCTCTCCCTATATTATCCCTTTTTGTCGATTCTTTCCGCCGATTCTGCATCGACATAAACATCGATATTATACTGCGTAATAATTGACGCATCATCGAATTACTAACTCCATCATCTTCATCGTGTTTCTATTTGTCGCTTATCTCACTAATCATCTTGGATTATTAACCCCAACATGTCAGACGTGAAGAGCCTTGAGCATCCTACATTGAAGGTAAGCACCCATATTTTTCTCATTTTGTTGACAATTTTTTCTTGTTAGAGTATAGCGAGATATTATTGTCATTTAGAAATTTTATTCTAGCTATGTTTCATATTTATGCACCCTATATATTTGATAGATACGTAAATAAATTTCTTAAGAAATAACACTCTAAATATAAATTTATAAAAATAGATAATCTATAAAAAAGTAAGTTTCTTAAAACGACATGAGAATAAATATTATTAGTAAAAATAAATACAAATATACATATCACTCTATACAATAAATATTATTCTATATTCCGAGCCAATATAAGATAATATACAACACTACATTTGCTCCAATAATATTGCTAGTTATTTTTTTTTTGTAAACAATATATATCAAAATCTGCATGTATATCTGATAATGTGCTTTTAAAAAATAGGTCCCATACGAGCTTCTGAACAAGAAGTTCCGCTCTGCCCAGAAAACTCTTGACAGAGAAGTGTCACATGTTCAAGCAGTATCTAATGAACTTGAGAAAAGTCTCAAAACTGATGGATCTTATGTGGCAACTGGAGAAATCAGCAAATTATTAGGTGGCGTAGTTGCCAGGCTTCAAGTTTTAAAGCGTAAAGCTCAAGAATCCATTGCAGAGGAGTTACAGGCAGGCATGGTCTGCAAAAGAAGATTGGATCACTTAAAGGAACATGCTAATACTTCTTCAAGTGCTGTGAATCAGTGGAGACGGCAAAGATTAGACAGAATGCTAGTAGAATATTTTCTTCGCAAAGGATATTATAAAACAGCGACTAAATTGGCAGACAGTAACGAGCTCAGAGATTTGACAAATATTGGTACTCTTTAATATAAAGCTGATTATTTGCTTTATTCTTTTTTTCATTATTATTTTTCATTCTTATAATCATCAAGTTTATAAAATTTTGTATATAAATTCTCAACAATTTCCAGTATATATAGTTTATCAATATTTTTTAATATTTATAGATGTGTTTATGGTATCGAGGGAAGTGGAGAAATCCTTGGCCAATCACGAAACTGCAAGATGTATTGGTTGGTGTCATGACAATCGTTCGAAATTAAGAAAACTGGGTAGCACAATGGAGTTCAATTTGCGCGTACAGGAATTTATCGAACTAGTGCGAACCGATAGGCGGTTGGACGCAGTGAAACACGCTCGAAAGTACTTCTCCAATTACGACGACTATCAGCTGCAAGAAATTCAATGTTGTATGGGTCAATTGGCGTTTCCAGCCCATGCATATTTAAGCCCCTATAAAGATCTATTAGACGAAAAAAGGTTTGCAATTGGTATTTATAAACACGCATCACAATTATGGTTAATTCACTATATAGAATTACAAAAAACTTTTCTCTTAATAGATAAAAATTATAAGAACTTGTTTGATTAATATGAATCACATAATCATAAAGATTCATCAAACCATTTGATAATATATAGCATAATAAAATAATTTTGATATAATAAATCATAACATAATTTATAAAAATTCATTTGCAGATGGGACAAGCTGATTGAAACATTTCGTCAAGAGAACTACAGGTTATTTCAATTGGCGAGCCAGAGTGTATTCACAGTAGCTCTGCAGGCTGGTTTGTCAGCCCTCAAAACTCCTCAGTGTTACAGCGCAAATAAGGAAGGCCGAAATCCTAGTTGTCCAATCTGCAACGAAGCGTTAAATGAATTGGCCGCGCCACTGCCTTTTGCTCATTGCTCACAATCGCGGCTTGTTTGTAGTATAAGTGGAAAACCACTAAATGAACATAATCAGCCAATGATGATGCCTAATGGATATGTTTATGGTGAACAAGTATGTGAAAATATTCTAAAACATTAATAAATTAAATAACAAGTAGAAATTATTATTGATGCTTTCAAAATATAAATATTTTAAAGTAGCAAAGTAATTAGAATATTTAAATAGAATTTATATATGTAAATATTTATATATTTATATATGTAAATAGTAAATTTAATAAGTTAATATATATTATTAATTCATATTATTATATTTAGTAATATATATTATTGGTATATATTTTAAAGACGTATTACATAGAAAATATAACACACGTGTTTGCAATTTTTATTACAGGCGTTAGAAAAGATGGCTCAGGAAAACAACGGCACAGTAATTTGCCCAAAAACCAAAGAAGTATTTCCATATAAAAAGATCGAAAAGGTTTTTGTTATGTAAGCTCATAAAATTCATATTGACACAGTATATATATATATATATATACATACGTTGTACTATATGCTTAATACTCTAATGGTCCCCTTCTAGCTCAAATCTTTCTTTGTTATTTAATAGTGATTGTATACAGCATTAATGGAATAAAATAACATTTATTTTTAAGAAATACCTTTGATCGATTTATTTGGATTCATCTTGCATATAAAACGAAAAGATATTAACTCTTATTATTTTTTAAGAGAGAGTTATATATTTTATTATAATAAAATGTTTAT